CCCCAAAACCCCAAAACCCCAAAACCCCGATTAGAATAGAGTAGTGCATTAGAATTTAATTAATATAAATACTGAAAAAGATTTATTTTATGAATCGAGCTGAAATATATATCATTTTAGCAATTTATATTTCCCTGCTGCAAAGACTATAGATTATCGAGTAGCTACTTCGCTTAATGGCTTATAAATAACTTTATCATATCCCTCTGGAGTATCTATTTGATTAACTTCGGATGAGATCGCAGTCATTCCAGTTCCAGTTAATTATTTTTGCTCATTGAATTCCTTGATATCCTTTGCAAAATCTATATACTCTTGCAGTTCGTTATGAAGATCAACCATGATAATGTCAAATTTGTTTGCCTATTCCCAATTTGCTTAATAAAGACTGAGAGCTTCTTCAGTAGTTTTTGCTCTAAATATCTAGGTGATTCCTTATTCCTCCAAAATACTGAATAGAATGCTGATGTTTGATTCAACAATAAGAATTTTTAGTTTAGCCAATTGCTATGCGATATTTAAAGTCCTGTGACTCATGAGTCTCTCAAGCTAAATAGATCTTCTATGGGAATTATAAAAGGAGCCTGGTGTTTATAAAGGCGTAGATAAATGAGATTAGGGGCTTTTAGTTTCATCAATCCAACTTCTTGGTACTTCGAAATCTTTTAATTAATCATTTTCATGTTCATGTTCTTTGTATTCTTGAGGATTAGATTCAATTCCAAAAACTCTTGAATCTTAAACCCATAATTCATCTTAGTACAGCAGAGTCTCAATAGAGCGAGTATATTTGTAGAATGGATGAATGTCAGTTTCTACGAAATTATTACTTTAAAGTTTCTTTTTTTCTGTTTATTTATGACTCCATTTGAACTAATCTTTCTAATTCTCATCCTTACTGATGTTCTGATGGGCTATCTTAACATTAGAATAAGTACTATCATAAACTATTTTCTTTGCTAAGTCATTAGATTTTAAAGAAAAACTATATGGATTAAAAAGTAAAAGCTATAATGTTTTACAAAATTTCTAGCTATGAACTCTCAATTGATTGCTTAACGTATCCATCGAATTCTTCAAGTTATATCAAAGAGTTAATAAATTTCAAGCTATAAGGTTTAATTGGTTTTAAAATACTTGAATATTTCAATGAATTCTAAAAGGTAGAGTTTAGTCTAGTCTATCTAATTCTTCCCTTTATCTTCACAATATAACGACTCAAGTGTCTCTTGCTACTCTGGAGATAACTTAGTTGTATAAATACTGATCTTGAATTAGTGCTTTTTGCCTAAATTGCTGCTAGATCCAATTTTACTTTTAGCCTAATTAAGTGGAATCATAAGTGAATTTATTTCCTAAGTTCCATTATTCTAAATTTCTAACAGACTTATCTCAACAGTGCTATGTCTTGAACTTTCTAAGACGGACTAAAGATTTTTGCTTGCTGCATTTTGAGTGCATAATAGACCATCAAGTAATGAATATAACATGACCTTGAACTTTTGATAGTCCTCGTTTACATCATTATGCTAAATGTCTACTTTTAGGATTAAATCAGTATCATTGCCCACTTTTTCTAGATATATTCCTTCAATAATACTATAAAGCGTCTCTTTAATGTGAAAATTATCAGACTTAGTGTGCTTGAATATCTGAGAAGTATTTAAGTTTCTCGAATAATTACTCTCCCTTTTCTTATCAATGGACATATTTTGGAAGGCCTATAAATCATATACCAGATTTTACAGCTGCAATTACAATAAATTATTCTGATCTTGCTGCTGCTTCTATCTCATCATCGACTATGCAGATATCTTACACTGAAGTTTCTATATTTTCTCAGTAATAGAATCTATCTCTTTATTCTTAAGCCATTTAAATCTTTTGAGATTCATTTTCCTTAGTATCATTTTCTCCTTAAGATCTTTTTGATTAACAAATTTGATTTTAGGGATTTGCATTTTTTACTTTGTTTAAGATTATGCTTAAATCTTGTTAGAATGTATTTATTAGGACTTAAGATCTTGGTAGCTTTAAGATTATTATAAATTCGTACCACCAACTTTGCTAAGATTTAGTAAAGGAGTCTTTAAATTAGAGCTGGGGGTTTGATTAAATAACTTCGCCATCATATTAACATTTTCGGATATTGACCTTTAAGGACTAAAATGAGACATTTGTGGAAAGTTCATATTTTTGGAGAGTGGAGTGCTTTTGTCATTGTCTTCCTCACTATCTACCTCATCCTGGTCACTTGCATAGTTTCCATTCATAAAATCAATATCCTTCCACAGCGATTAATCTTCAATCTCTATCATGTATGCTTTGATGTTCTTATAATCAATATGCTTCATATTCTTGACATCAAGCTTCTTGTCCTTGAAAAGAATAGTCTCAGCTTAATTAATTTCTTTTTCAAAAGCAAGTCCTTCTTAAAATCTATCTTTGAGCTAATCTAATCCTAGAAATTCTTGAAAGATATTGCTTGGATTAATGCTATTTTCATCAATAAATTTCAAAGCTTATATGTTATTATATAATAAAGAGCCTTTTTGTGATACTATGAAGATCATTTAGCATTGTTTGTCTAAAATGTGACTGCAAATTCTATAGGACTTCATAAAGCTATCACTTAAAACCCATGAATCTTTCATTGATTTTTCCAATAAGGCATGAATAAATCCGCTTATTCCAATAAATATCAATACTTGAGTGATGTGAGTTTCAAATTAGAATTGTTCTCCAGCGAGAAAGTATCTAAAAAATTCATAGATTAATACCTTTTTAGAGTATTCCTACCAACTGCGAGACTTGAACAGGTCTAAAAAAAATTATCTTACTTTAAAGCTTACTGGTAAAAATAAAGTATGAATAAGGGCAGAAGTTATTGATGATAAGCTTATTAGCATCAACACTTTGAGAACTAGAGACTATGAATATAATATCTATTATTTAGTTCAGATACTTCCTCAAGTTTAAGTCTAGATTCTTGATTTGCTAGTTAAGTATTGTTAAGAACAAGCCTATAAGCAGAATGATTAAATTTCCTGTTTCAAGATGCGCTAAATAGTAAGTTGATAGCAACATGTAATGTGAATACTATAGAAATGTCACAAATTACTAATGCTTCTTAGTATTTTCCTCTTAGTATCTCAAAGCAGTAGCTTTATTAAGAAACTAGAGCTGATAATCTGTCATATACTCTCCACTCTTAGACTCTTACTTCTTTTTCGCATTAAAAGCAAATTTCCCTCTTTTTTAATTAATAGATTCTTTATCCTGAGTATTTACAGCATACAGGTTCCATCTGCGAACTTTAGCAAAATCTTGTTTCAGCTATTGTATATCAGATAAGATCTAGGTTTCCTAAACTGACTGCAAGTGTTCAGACTATCCAACGAACTAGGATTTAGCTCTTTTTGAGATAAATGAATTTTTTAGTTCGTCGGGGGTATTTGATCGAGATTAGTGCTCTAGCTATGATTTAGTTGATTGGTATTTGTTTTATATGTCCATTGATTGATTTACTTCGAAAATATATAATTACAAAGCATTATATTTATATTCCTACTCTAATAATGTCTGTATTTTTAATTTCTAACTTCATAAATTTGATATCTCATGGGGTTTTGGGGTTTTGGGG